CAGTCTTCTTTGCTTTGTGTTCTTCTAAAGGTAACAAAGTGCTCTTCCTCGGGCACTAACCCCAGTCACAGGAAACTCCAATAGTGTCTTCTAAGTAGAACCCTAATCCTCTGCACTAGCTTCACCTGCAAAATGCTCCTTCATTGCTTAGTGCAGCCACATCAGACACTGAAGCCTTGATGGCCAACCAGTCCCATCCACAGCAGCCACATTTACCTGCTATTCCCTCAACCAAAGCCCTCTGACTCTGTGGATTAAGGTGATAACTACACATGTTTACAAACCTGCTTCTCCACGCAGGAGCCAGAGAGCTCTGTGAGGCACAGATTGAGTCATCTTGACCTGTGCTCAGAATCCCTCAATACACACATGCCATGCTAATCTTTGCCAAGACCCACAGCGCCACTTTTTCTGCAGCTCACAGGAGCACTCGCGCTGCTGTCCCATAGCCGTGGGCCTCTGCATCCGATACTTCTCTTCTGATTTACCTTCTTGGGGTATTCACAAGATCCATGTGCACATGATATTCAGGGATTTCCTTGCCATGAGATCTGGGCCCCATTCCTGCTCTTTCTTCATCTGACTGTAGTTTTCCGGGAGCTGACATATCTGTCTGTGTTTGGGCTCTGCAGTGTGTGCAGCTTGCAGTTAGCCATTTTGCCTCTTTTTCTCCCAGATGTGTTCTAGCTTTCCTTAGACTGCTGTTCATGCATAGTGATCTCAGTATGCAGCTGCTGGAAGAATGAGAGCAGAGCCCTACACAGGTCAAGGATGCTGGAATGAGAGGCAGTGGAGAGACCTCTATGCCCAGCCTTACCCCGGAAGGCTCACTGAGAGCGGCAGCCCTCCTGTGGTCCCAGGACTCCAGAATTCTGCTGTGACTAGGTCCTGCCAAACCTTCCATCCTGCGAGTCCTGTCCTGACAGCTGTGTCCTACCCCACCTCATTCTCTTCCAGCACAGGGGACGAACACAGCCGTGGGAACTGGGGTCACTTGGACCAGGTGGC